CACGTCATCCTCTAAGCATTTTGGACTATGGACAGAGTGGTAAATTTATCCTCAAATGCACGATCCACATAATTTTCACAGTTCAACTTAAATTGAATAAAAATTCTTTTTTTTTTCACAATTTTACAGTGAACACAAAAATTGAGTTAAAATGCTATGGGAGCGTGTTTGTCAGTGTTATGAGGTAGCAATTCACTTTATATGCGATAATATTGCAATTTTCTTACGGATCCCTAATTTTTTTCAAAATAAATTATAGCCTATTTAACTCCACGATAATATAGCTTTCTATCGGTGAAAGAATTTTTTAAATCGGACCAGTAGTTCCGGAGCCTATTCGCTGCAAACAAACAAACGAACAAACAAACAAATTTTACCTCTTTATAATATTAGTATAGATAACCATCTGATAATTTGGGGTGAGGTCCCCCAAGATTTCCCTGCAATTTTCCGACAGGTGAAGAGAGCCCTGAGGCCCTTATCCACTGTCTTTTGCATATGGGTTGCAAACGTTAGCCTTCTGTCGAAGGTAACTCCGAGGAACTTAACTTCCCGGCTTATTGCTACGGGAGTACCTAGTAGCATGATTTGTCTCATCTTCTTTAGTTTGTACTTCTTTGTAAAAGGAACAATGACTGTTTTTGCGGGGTTGAGGTTAAGCCCAACTTCCCTGCACCAGTCGAGCGTTATCTTGAGTCCGAGTTGGACAATACCGCAAAGCGTTTCTTCAAATTTCCCTTTGGCTACTATTACTATGTCATCGGCATAGCCCTGACATTGTATTCCTCTGTCGGCGAGTTTCTTTAGTAGTTTATCTACTAGTAGGCTCCACAGTAAAAGAGACAAGACTCCACCTTGCGGACATCCTCTGCTTGTGGCAACGGTCATTGTGCTGTTGCCAATGGTCGCCATTGCCTGCCTGGAGCTTAACAAGGCTCCAATCCACCTTCTTGTTATCGCGTCTATATTCCTTCTGGCGAGGGCCGCTAAGACAGCATCATGCGACGCATTGTCAAAGGCTCCCTCTATATCCAGAAAGGCGCAGATTGCAACTTCTTTGTTGTCCACTACCCCTTCAAGAGTGTGACAAAGTTGGTACAGTCCAGTGTCTGTTGAACGACCTGCCCTGTATGCGTGCTGCGTGGGTTGCAGCGGACAGTCCTTAAGAATTATGCTCCTAATATGGTAGTCTACCAGCTTTTCCAACGTTTTAAGGCAAAACGAAGTTAAGCTGATAGGTCTGAAGGACTTTGGGTTGGTGATGTCTTTCTTCCCTGCTTTGGGGATGAAGACCACCCTAGCTCTACGCCACGCATTTGGGATGTGTCCAATTGCTAGGCTGCTTAGCATCAGTCTCCTTAAGCGGGTTAGGAGTAAATCCAGTCCCTGCTGGAGGAATGATGGAGAGAACCATCCAGACCAGGTGACTTAAATGGCTGGAAGGTCCCAATTGCCCATTTAAGTTTCTCCGGAGAGACTAGAGACTTGGCAATTGCCCAGTCCTCTGCGCTTGGTCTGAAGTGTCTTGGAGTGGACGATGCCTCCATTGGTTTGGACGTATCTTCCGCCAGACGTGAGCTCCCGGGGAAGTGTATTTTAAAGAGTAAAGCCAGTTTATCCCTGTCGTCGGAAGTGTAAGAGTTTTCACATTTCCTCAGGGCTAGGTTACTTTCTGGTGCAACTTTGGCCATAGCCTTGTGCAATCTTGCCCCTTCATGGGCAGTGCTGATTGCCTCACAGAAGTCTCTGTAGTTCTTCCGTTTGGCCTTCCTGATCTCTTTGTTGTAGAGCGTCAGGCTTTGTTTGTATTGTCTCCAGTTTTCCTCGCTCGTTTTTGCTCTGTTGAAGAGCCGGCGGGTAGAGATTCGGAGCCGTTCCAGGTTGTCATTCCACCATGGGGCGTCTCTATCTGCTTTCCGTCTGCCAAGAGGGCAACTGTCCTCAAAAGCATTGGTTATCTTCTTGCAGAGGTTATCCACTGCCTGATCCAATTCTAAAGAATGTCTGGGTATACCTGACGGTTCGTTAGAGAGATTGAGTTCAAGAGAGGACTTGAACCAATCCCAGTTTGATTTCTTGGGATTCCTTTTGGGGGCGTCCCTAGCGGTGTTGAAGTATACTTCAAATCTAATGATTCGGTGATCCGACATTGATTCCTCTGGCGACACATGCCAGTTCTTGATAAATGGTCCTAGAGACCTGCTCATCAGAGTTATGTCTAGGACCTCCTCTCCTACTCTAGTAATGAATGTCGGTGTGGACCCGTCGGTTCTTCCTCCTGCAGCATTCCACGAGTCCGATGATTTCCGGTGGTGGGCATGCTGCATCCCCAGCGAAATACGCCGATGCTATGGCGATCGCTGGTAACTTTCCTGTGCCGCTCAGCGTTACTCAGCGTTCGAATAGTTTACTTATACCAATAGGTATATTCTTTTAAGGCAAATTCTCACTTTGTGGGCCGAAAAATGGCACTTTTTTAAAAAAATTGTTTTGAGAAAACGGTAAAAGACAAAATGCTGAAATATTTACCATTATTTGAAAACATATTTATTTTGCGAACAAAAAATTTTGAAATCGAAAAAATCAAAAAAGGGGCGGGAGGGGCGTTCCTCAGTGGCGGCATGTCGGCGAAAAGGTATCCCGCTTACGGAAGTGATTCAGCCAAAACAGGTAATCGGAAACACAAAAACCAAAAAGATTCTTAAAGTGTACAGTACTGTGCATAAAATTAACTACGATCAGAAAAAAAAATTAAAATTGAGAAAGTTATTAACTTTTGAAAAAAAATTACGATTTTCGCCCTTTTTTTCTCACTAATTATTTTCTCAATTAAACAGTTTTAAATATTTTTGGATAATCCTAGTTCATTAGTTAAAGGAAACAATTAGGAACATTAAAAAAAAAACTTGACGACAATTGATTAACCCCAACGCCTTCAATTCCTTCCGTAAGGTCCGAAAACGTGGTTCCGAGATAAGCGCCTTAAAAGTTTTGGCTTCAAATGGCCGGTGCTCGACAATATATAAGACGAGGATCAATGAGATCGAATTAATCTAGTTTTGGTGACGAGAGTGAGCGGAACTCGCTGTGCTGGCGCATGAGTAGATAAATTGTGTGAATAATGGAAGACATAATAGTATTTCCGACATATCTAAATGTGTATATTAATGTATATGCGCAGCTGCAGAGCAGCGGTCAATGCTTATGCATAAGTGTATATAGGGGGGTGCTAGTAGCGGGCGCGCATGAGAGTGAGAGTGTTATGCTCACATAGTAACCAAATGATCGGCCGCGTATGCATACATGCCGGCTCAGCATTTAGGATGTTCATAACATTGTTGTGTGGGTCGAATTACTCCGCACTTGAAGTGCTGGGAATATTAAAAAAATAAAATTAAAGATTTTGTCTTACTGAAAAATGAAGAACGCCATCAAACTAAAATGGATGCAAAGTTTAAAGGCCCTGTTTGGTCCAGCCCAAACAACTAAAATAACATCCTTTTTTATTCTCATAACTTCACAAATCACAAATATTTAAAGTGAATTAATTATAAAATTAAAACTTACTGCATTGGTGTAATTCGGAGGTCATTGGCCGCGTAACATTTTGCCCTCTATCAAAGTAAAAAACACTTGTTCGCGGTTTTCTGAACAGTTCTCACTTGCGGTACTATCGTGTGTTTTTTCTACAGGGTGCCTTTCTTTGAGTGAAACATGTCAATAGAAGACAAAACCCTTTCGTCCCAAACTCAAGCAACCTTTTTTAAGCTTAAAGCCAATTCAATTTGGCAACGTGCCGAAACAATCAATAAGCAATGAAATCGGTAGCCCATTACGAGATATTTTCGAAGAACTTATAGCCACCCTAAAGGTCCGCATCCGTTCAGAAATTCGCAAACGCAATTCGACTGTGCCTTTATCCTCAACATTTCGTGCAGAAGATCCATTTTCGTCTCATACAATTTTTGTAACTCAAAAATCTCGATTGCCGGATCTTAAACTCCCAACATTTAGTGGAGGCTACACTCAATGGGCCGATTTCCATGCCATGTTTTCGACGATCATCGACAAGGATCCTGGCCTTTCCAACATTTAAAAACTGCAGCATATGCGCTCCTGCCTCAAGGATGCGACCCTTGACACCATAAAATCACTGGAAATCTCTGACAGCAACTACAGTATCGCTCATGAAGTATTAAATAATAGATTTAATGATAAACGCATTGTTTTTCAAGCACATGTTGCACAAATCTTTGGCCTAAATACGATCGAAGCTGGGTCAGTTGACAAGTTGAGAGTACTCTCTGATAGGTTTATCAGTCACATGCGGGCTCTTCAAGCATTGGACGATCAAGAGCAAATTGCAAATTTCTTCATTGTTCAAGCCTTGGTGCAGAAGCTAAATCCATCTACCCAAGCCAAGTGGGAGGAATCGTGCCGTGTTGATAAAATACCATCGTGGGAGGAGTTTTCGAAGTTCCTAGAAAGACGTTGCCAGACTCTAGAGAATGTGGAGCTTGCCATGGCTCTCCATTCATCAAGCAACTCATCTGGAAGGCAAAATCGTTCTAACAAGGCCCTATTAGTTGCCAGTCCATCACGATGTCGATTCTGTAGCCATACCGGCCACTCCATATACACGTGCACGAGATTTGGGAATCTTTCCCCAACACTAAGGAAGTAGAAAAGATGTCCCTGTGCATAAATTGCCTTAAAGACGGGCATCAATTGCACTCGTGCAATTCTAGCAGTTGCAGGAAATGTGGATCCAAGCATCATACATTGCTTCATTTGGGAGACGCACCATTTTCAACGTCATCTGCAATGCCACCGCCAACTCAACCTACTCTGGCCCCAATTAATATGGCTCAAGGTTCTTCAAATCAGTGCTCACTGGCTTGCACTCTGCCCTCTGACTCAGTTTCTTCCTCTATCAAAGAACCCCAAGTTTGCAACTTTGTGCTCTTAAATAATAATAATAATAAATGGCTTTAACAACCCTAACGGGTCACAGCCTGATGCATTAGTTCCCTCCACGCGTCCCTGTCCTGGGCGCGTCCACGCCAGTTGGCAATACCAAGTGATGCAATGGGTTGAATCACTTGGTCCTGCCATCGAATCCTTGGTCTTCCCCTCCTACGTTGTCCGCTTACCACCGCTTCAAACACCTTCCGAGCTGGAGCTACCTCTTCCATGCGTACCACATGACCTAGCCAACGGAGTCGCTGGATGTTAATCCTGCTGACTACATCAATGTCATCGTACAGCTCATACAACTCGTGGTTCCATCTGATACGATAGGTATCGCCAACGCAAACAGGACCGAAGATTTTTCGAAGAATTTTTCGCTCGAATACTTCAAGAGCTGCTGCATCTGGTTGTGTTACTGTCCAGGCTTCTGCCCCATATAGAAGCACTGGAAGGATGAGCGTCTTGTAAAGTGTTATTTTCGTTTGTCGAGAGAGAGCTCTGCTTCTGATTTGCCTACCGAGCCCAAAGTAGCACCTATTGGCAAGTGTTATTCTTCTCTTAATCTCCAGGCTGACATTATTGTTTCCAGTCACAGCAGTACCAAGGTATATAAATTCCTTGACGGACTCAAAGCTATAGCTCGCTGCAGTGAGCTGAGAATCGAGACGCCGCGATTCTCTACTAGAACACACCATAAACTTTGTTTTCTCCATATTTACTGCTAAACCTACTTTAGCCGATTCTTTTTCGATTGCTCCGAAAGCTGCGGTAACATCACGCTTTGTGCGACCAATGATGTCTATATCATCAGCGTATGCAAGCAGTTGGACACACCTGTTCGTCAGTATTGTGCCCGTCCGATGCACACCAGCCTTTCTTATAATACTCTCCATCAAGAGATTAAAGAGCATACATGAGAGCGAATCCCCTTGTCTGAGACCTAGCTTAGTATTGAAGGTTTCGGACTGGTCGTGTCCTACCTTGACAGAGCTGTTGGTGTTGCTCAATGTCATTCTGCAAAGTCGCGTCAACTTTGCAGGAATACCAAGCTCAGACATGGCGGCATATAGGAGATCGCGTCGCGGGCTATCGAATGCGGCTTTGTAGTCGACAAAAAGATGATAAGTGTCGATTTGGTTCTCGTGCGACTTCTCCAGGATTTGTCGCAGTGTAAAAATCTGGTCCATGGTGGATTTACCAGGTCGGAAACCGCACTGATAAGGTCCAATCAGTGCCTCAGCATGTGGTTTCAGTTTTTCACACAATACGCTCGTGAGGACCTTGTATGCGACGGGTAGAAGGCTAATGCCACGGTAATTGGTGCGCTGTGTGGCATCACCCTTCTTCAGGATGGGACAGATCAGACTGAGGTTCCAATCATTGGGCATATTTTCCATGAGCCATATCCTGCAAATGAGTTGGTGCATGCACCCTACCAACACATCGCCACCTGCCTTGAACAATTCAGCTGATAGGCCATCAGCGCCAGGAGCTTTATTGTTCTTTAACCGCTGTATGGCGGCTGCGACTTCAATATGACTCGGGGCCGGTATATCGGTGTCATCATCGATCGGGGTTAGTGAATCACTGTCTCCGAGGCTTGGAGCATCGCCAGCCAATAGTGTGGAGAAGTGATCCCTCCATAACTTCAGTACAATGTCCTTGTCAGGGACCAGGTTTCCGTCATCATCTCTACACGCAAACCCACCGGTCTTAAAACCTTGGGTCAGACGCTTGACCCTCTGGTAAAAATTGCGCGCATCATTCCTGTCTCTACTACACTCTATACTCTCACATTCACGCCTTTCGAGTTCCCGTTTCTTGCGTCTGAAAAGGCGTTTTTCTTCTTTTCTCCTTATCCTGTAGGCATCCACCAGGGCACGGGTGGCTCCAGCTTGCAGCGTTCTTTGGTATGCAGCGTCTTTTGCAGCTGTAGCTTCACGGCATTCCTGGTCGTACCATGGGTTCCTTACGGGAGGGCCCTGGAAACCAAGCACTTCATCCGCGGAGGCTTGCAGGGAGTGAGATATGTGCGCCCACATATCACTAATGCTTTCAGGCATTGGAGAGGGCTGGCTCAGTAAGCCAGCGAGTCGAGTGGAGAACGCATCCTTCGTCTGTTGTGAGTGCAGTTTTTCGAAGTCCGGCTTTCTTGACAAACCTCGGCGTACAATCTTCGACACACATAGCCGTGTGCGAACCTTGGCTGCAACGAGCCAGTGGTCAGAGTCTATATTGGGACCCCGAAAAGACCGTACGTCAAGTATGCTAGATGCATGCCGTGCATCAATCACAACATGATCGATCTGATTACGAGTCAGTCGATCGGGCGAAATCCAGGATGCTTTATGAATGTCTAGATGACGAAAACCAGTGCTACGTACCACCATATTGTGCGATGCGGCAAAGCCAATTAGTCTGAGTCCATTGCTCGAGGTAGTCTCATGCAGGCTAAATTGCCCGACAGTTGCTCCAAAGACACTTTCTCGCCCAATCTTGGCATTAAAGTCTCCAAGGAGGATTTTAATGTCATGAGATGGACAGCGGCCGTAAGATCGGTCGAGCTCCGCATAAAAAGCATCCTTAGTCGCATCGTCTTTTTCTTCAGTTGGGGCGTGCACGCATATCAGGCTGATGTTAAAGAATTTGGCAGATATTCGGATGATTGCGATTCTCTCATTTATTGGCAAAAAATGAGAGACACGATGCCGTAATTTGGCACCTACCACAAAACCACAACCAAACTCATGCCTTTCTGTATGGCAGCTGTAGTATATGTCGCAGTTCTCCTGTCCTTTCCATCGCATTTCCTGGATTGCAGTAATGTCAGCTTTACATTCGTTGAGGGTATCCGCTAGTTGTTGAGCAGCTCCGGGCCTGTACAATGTTCGTACATTCCAGGTGCATACTCTCAAATCATAGTCCTTTTTACGTTTGCTATTGTCGTCAACATTGGTTAGATTCCTTTCCGAGGCTCCTCTTGCATCTTTCATTGAAGATTAAGTTTTCCATGGGTGGATTTCAAGTCCTACGCCATAACCTAGTTTAAGTATTAGGAACCCGCCGCGCGCTTTAGTTTGCTACTAAACGGATGTTTAGTGACAATCCAGAGGGAACCACGAGGAGGTAGTGCGTCGACTTGAGGAGAAAAGGAACGAGGATCATGCTGGCACCCACCAAGTTGAATGCAATCAGACACTTTACCTTGTTTATTCTCCCCCATTCCCCCCTTTGTGCTCTTGGCAACTGCAAATGTTTTTATTAAAAATACTCGACTCAGGTTCGCAAGTTCACATTGTAACGTCCAGATTCGTGCACCTCCTTCAGCTCAAAAGGATTAAATCTGCTGCCGTCGTATCTGGTCTTGGAGATTCTAGTTTCAGAACTACAAGCTATGTTGTCTAGCTGAGTATATCATCCAACTCTACCAATTACTCTGCGAGTATTGAAGCCGTGGTTGCATTCTCCATTGTCAACGATCAGCCTGATTTCAATTTCGACTCATCGCCATGGAATATCCCATCAAGTCTACCGTTGGCTGACCCAGAATTCAACAAATCGAAGAGGGTTGACCTTCTCATATGAGCAAGTTTGTTCTATGATTTGTTATGTATTGGACAAATCAAGCTTGGCCCCCATCTTCCCACTCTTCAAAAAACTCGACTTGGATAGGTTGTCTCTGGTGGCACGACACAAACTTGCCACACTCTCTTTGCCTCTTGATCTATTTCAGATAAAATGCCAGAGCCTGAAGATCGAATTTATGATCTTCTGCAGCGATTTTGGGAATTAGAAGCCTGTCCTTTGGAAGGCTCGAATTTCACCAAATCAGAAACGGAATGCGAGGAGCATTTCCAAAACACCTTCTTTCGACTACCCACTAGTGAAAATGAGGTTCAGCTATCAAAAACTGGAAAAATCTATGGATTTGGCGAGTCATACCAACAAGCATATCGCCGTTTTCTCAGCTTGGAGCGAAAATTGGAACGCCGTCCGGATGTCAAGGAACAATACTCTAACTTCATGAAGGAGTATCTGGAACTCAGTCATATGTCGCTTGTGCCACCAGATGATAGAATGCACTGCAGATTTTCCTCCCGGGTTTTGCGATGCTAGCATGTCCGCCTATGGAGCATGCGTGGATATTGTATCCAGATCTGCTGACAAATCCAATGCCAAACTATTGTGCTCCAAGTCTCGAGTAGCGCCCTTAAAGACTCTGTCGATTCCGAAGCTTGAACTGTGCGGAGCGCTTCTGTTGGCCAATCTTCTAAGCGAGCTTCAAAAAATGGATATAGTTTTAGGTCCATACTTCTGCTGGTGCGATTCAACCGTAGTCTTAGCTTGGCTGAATAGTGATTCATCCCGATTCACAACTTTCCTTGCTAATAGAGTAGCATCCATTCAAAGAACTACACTACACTGAATCCTGCTGATATCATATCCAGAGGAGCCTTGCCCATGGAATTGAACGCGTCCGATCTCTGGTTTCATGGTCTTTCATTCTTGCTGCTACCGCGATCCAGCTGGCCGCCATCCCCTGCCCAAGAGCAGTGCTTACTGGAGCTGCGCAAGGCAACGTGTTTGATTTTGTTGTCACCCATTGATCTGACTTCTAAGTGCAAGTTTGAAAATTCATTTCCTGCTATGCAGCGAATTTTCTCATACATATATAAATTCTTGTTTCGACTTAGATCACCCACTCTGACTGTTTCAGATTTACAGAATGGTACACGCCTCCTAGTTCGAGCTGTGCAGCGAGCTACCATGTGGGCTGACTTAAAAGCAATTCAGGCCAACCATGTCCTGAAGACATCAAATTGCCTGTCATCGCTATCTCCATTTGTTGACGATTTTGGTCTTCTACGAGTCGGAGGTAGACTATCGAACTCCAGTCTACCCTTTGACTCTCGACATCCAATGATCCGGCCCAGGAAGCACCCAATTACTTCGGCTATCATCAAGCACTTCCACGAAGAAAGTCTTCATGCAGGACCTCGTACGTTGCTGGCCAGAATCAGACTCCACTATTGGCCCACAGGTGGGCGAAGAACAGTCGCTGCTGTGATCACCAACTGTATTCGCTGCTGTCGTGCTCGGCCACGTACACTTCAGCATGTTATGGCTGACCTGCCAAAGGAACGCGTGGATTCTGCAGACCTTCACTGTCACTGGAGTCTGGAGTCACATCGAATGGAAATTCATTCCACAGCCAAGCATCATCTTTATCGCACTATTTCGCAATCCGCACTAGGATTTAATGAGTTGCGCACCATTGTTTGTATGATCTCGGCCATCATCAACTCTAGACCGCTTCTGCTTCTATCAGAGGATCCATCAGACCTTGATGTCCTGACTCCGGCACATTTTTTAACTACTAGTTTCAGTGAATCAGATCTTTCTAACTTAAATGTCAACAGACTTGATCGTTGGCAGAAAATTTCGTGTTTGCAGGAAACTTTTTGGAAACGCTGGCATGAAGAATATCTGACGCTCCTTCAGCAGAGATCCAAGTGGCGTTCACCCCAACCCGGCCTGCAGGTCAACGATGTCATCCTAATTAAGGATGAAAATCTACTTTCGCTTAAATGGCCATTAGCTCGTGTGTTAGAGCTGATAAAAGGAAAGGATGAAATCTGTTGCCAAATTGTGACTTTTGCCTACTAAGGATGATGTTGAAAGCCACAGCCTTCCAGCGGGGGGAGAAGGTTTGGTCCAGCCCAAACAACTAAAAACACACCCTTTTTTATTCTCTTAACATAATAACTAAAAACTGTTGTAAATTTCCCTGCGAGGCAATTCTCTTAACCATCGCTTTGTTTTTCGCTTATAACTTATCGCTTCTTACTTCTTTGTCAAGCTCATGTAGCTGCATTGCCGAAAATAATTAGTCAGTCGTTGCTAGATCGCTGCATTTAACGCTCAAGCCAATTCGGGTTTGTCTGCGCACTTTTTGGTTTTATTATGCCGTCGCCCTCGTGCCGCTAATAAATAAACTATTGTATTTAACAAACATAAGTGAATACTTTGTTATAATTGCCATTGGAATTAACCAAATTATATTTATAAAACTAACTCTTTGTGTTCTCTCACCAAAATATAGTTAGTGAAAAAGATGGCTAACTCAACAGGCCCATTTTTGGTTAGTGAAGTACTAGAAGGAGATAGATATGTCTTTAAGTCATTGCATAATAAGAGAACTTACAAATATTGTCATGAAGATTTGAGAAAGATGCCAGATGCGAGCCACTGCGAGAGACAGTGATGCCAGTATGTGCATCACAACATTTTCGATAGCCCAGTTTTTCGGGATTCTAAAACAGTCAAAAACCGGCAGTGGTGCGCTCAAGTCTATTCGCCATCTACAACCGTCTCATAATTAAAACAAGATATGGACACTGAGAATCTAAGCCCGACATATGCGTATGTACATGTAAGGTTAATTTAATGTTAATTACCAAGTATTATATAGTCCTAGTATTGGTATTATATGTGTATTTATATTGTGGGGTAGATTTTTTAGGAATTGAATTGTTTCTTGTATATTCCTAAATGAGGTAACTTCAGTTAATGTTTGTTTTTGTAGTTTCAATCTTTCCTGCTGGAGAGCAGGGAATTCGACTTATATATGTTGTAGAGTATGTGTAGAGCAGATCGGTGGTGGGGTTTTTAAGTATGTAGCTGCGGGTTCGGTTGGCGAGTCCTAGTCTTATTCTTGCGAATTAAATTAAGTCTTCTCGATAGGTGTTTTCTTTAGTTTGCTGGCGTAGTTGATGTTCTTGTAATGGGTTTAAAAATCGTTAAGTATTGAGTTTTTAAGGGTTGGAGTGTTCCGTTTAATAAGTTTATGATTGATGAAGGTTGTTTTGGATGATTAGAGGAAAATGATGTACCGGAGTACCGGACAGCATGATCTGCGCGATAAGGTCCACTCCCAAGATAAGGTCTATCCTCTTCGAACGGTAGTACTCCGGATCCGCTAGTGGAAGTCCTTGAATGTGGGTCCATCGTTGTGGCGAGAAACTTGAGCAGGGCAGCAGCGAAGTGACCGTGTCCAAATCGTATGCCAAAGAGACGTCTATCGAGAAATGATTATAAGTACTTAGAACCTTGAAGTAAACCATGTACTTGCTCCTGGACCCAACCCCTTGGCCTACTCCGACAATGGACGTCCTCGCTATTGTCCGCCGATGCAGGGATTGCACCACATGCTCGGATACGATGGTCGCCTTGGAGCCTTGATCGATGAGCGCCGTGGTGACACATTGGAGCTCGTTGTCTGGATTCTGAACCGTGTTGCGCGCTGTAGATAAAAATACATTGTCCACTCGATTAGAAAGCGATGAACAAGTATAACTTCGGTATTCGGAGCCGACTTCCCGTTGAGACTGATGAGAATTATTAGTCATCGGAGATCGCGTCTGCAGCGACGACATCTGGGAAGAGGGCGCCTGCGGAGCGATGGCAGGCTGAGCTGCACTCGGCAAGTGCAACTGCGTATGATGACGCTGACCGCAAACCTGACACCCTTTGTTGCTGGTGCAGTGGGGAAACGCATGAGCCTTGCTGAGGCAGTTGATGCACAGCTTCGCCCTGCGCACAATCTCCTTGCGTCTCCACGCTTTCATAGCTAAAAACGCCGGACAACGTCGCAGAATGTGACCGCTGTTGCAACGATGACAACTTAAGCCGGGGCGTCCTGACTCGTCGCGTACGTTGTGCACTCGAAGCCGGCGCATGGCATCTGAAGATCCGGGCCCCGGAATGAGGTCGTTCGACAAGCTTCGGTTGCTCCCATGCGTTGAGTGTTTCCTTTGGGAGCCTGGAAGCCGCGTGATATGCCAGTCAATGTGGCACATCCTTGACGGTGCTAAGCATTAGAGGTGGAGAACTATCGATGGCACTATCGGGACTATCGATGGTTTGCCACTATCGATACGCAATCGATAGCTGCGCGCACTCTCGATAGTGGTCAATCGCTATCGTCGATTGT